TTGTCCCGTGATCCCCTGCTAGCTAATTGTCAGTACTACGAGCTGATCTATGCTCAAATAAGCGAGTCTACTATCGGCTGATTTCCTGTAACTAGAGTCAAACCACTAAACATGTCAGGAGAGGCAAAAATAGCCTTCTTCCAACAGTTGAATGGCTTGAGTCCTCCAGTTTCCTACGGTCTATATTAATATCTGGTTGAACCTTCAAGTCAAAACGTTTTTTGCTAGTCTCACTTGATTTAAGTGCTCAGCTACACTGTAATCAAGTGATATCTCGGACAAAATTGGCCGCAACTGATGCAAACAAAGCGGGTAGGCGCGCGTTAAATGATAAAAGCCGAACTTAAACCAAGTCGACGTCTTGCCGAAGAACCGTTCCGCAGTAGTTTCGGAGAAACCGAAGTATTAACGAAAAAATCGAAGTACAGCCGAAAATAAGCGAAAATCCGACCGAGCAAAAGCGATATGAAAACATACATAAAAAAACCAAATAAAAAAATTTGGAGGGAGGACCCAAACCAACCCCAGGGCCCGCTAACTAATCTAACCAAGTAAACTAAAGTAGATTACGTCGAACGAGAAGTTTGTTAACTTCTGCTTGAATTTGGAGATGAGGTTCAACCAGAGCTCTATATTATACCCCCTCTATCCCCAAACCCCAAAGAATTTCACAAACCGGCTTTTTAAGTCTTCCATCAGCGTCTTCTAACTGACTTGTTTCCAGTCTACTCGTATGCGACGGAAATGGAGAGAAGAAGGGGGCGTCGGCCCTCTTCTTCGCCGCCTTTCACATCCTAATACAAGTGGACCTGGTCACAGAAGTCAGCTCTTTCATTAAATCGATGGACTGAAATGGAATGAGCTGAAGTGGACTGAGCTTCACGAAACTGGATTGCACTGGATCGGGCTGAATCGGACCGTATCGAACCGGACTGGACCAGAAGATTGGACAGGACAGAAAGAGCCTGGGCTAGACCGAACTTGACTAAAAAGGACCGGAGTGGACTAAATCGAATGTTACAGGTTTGGAATGGAATGGACTGAACTGAAGTGGTCCAGATGGAACTGATTGGACTGAAGCTCTACGCTGGATTGCTGTTGGTTAAATCAATGAAAATGATTTAGTTCCACTTGGAGTTGAAATGAATATTCAATATGATGAATCCACCTTCCGACGCAGCGGCTCAGAATGAAGCGACACTTTCTCAAATTATGGTAGACTTTTGTATTTTAATAAACCGAACTGTAAAGGTGGAAGATGAACCCGTACACGTGTTCTTTGAACACTAAAAACGCAATGTAGGAGCAACTTCAGAATACCCGTCCACCTCATTTACATGTGTCGGGAGGCTTTGAAGAACGAGGCATAACACAATAGACGCTCTTCTTATTTAATAACATGTAAATGAGGTGGCCGGGTATTCTGAAGTTTAGCCGTAGTAATTTACTAACCTTCTTGGTCTAAGTCCTCTCCTACCATTTGCTCTGCGTATTTGTCTGATAATTGTGCATAGAAAACAATTTTCTTCAGCTAAAGTCTGCTCTCAACATCTCTAGCTCTTCGCCTTAATCTTGGAATAATTGTTGAACCTGCGCCCCTCTCAGCAAAAGGCCGCTACGACCCACGTGCATAGATCATATCTGATTGGTCCATATTTTGCACGGGCCTCGTGCTTTAAGCGTCAATGGTTGTAAATGTGTCATCCATCTTTATACGCAGGGACACAAGGGAAGTTAAAAACAATAGACGGATTCGGCCAACGTATTTACTTCCTTGTTTTTGCCAAATGCTTATCATCTTATGAACTTTTGGGATTTTTTTTTGGAAATAAAATTTCGTAATTTATCACAAGCAGCTGACTGCTTTACTTTTGTAACCTCCCAGATGTAAACACGTCAGCCGAATGTTTCTGTCATCATCTCCGGGAGGGTCCACTGGGAATTCTTGCAAATCTCTATCCGGCGGATAGCGCAATATGTTTTGTTAACTGGATAGCGATTATCCGTTGTATTGTGTTATCCGCTCTTTGAACAACTGGATCCTGCTCATTAAATCTTATCCACATGACCACGTTCCCGTTTCCTTCGTCGTCCCGCTTTACGTAAGGGTTTTTTTCTGAGAACGTAGACTAGGTTGGAACTCACACGCTTCCCTAAGTCTGAAGACAATTGTTAGACAAAAACAATCTTTATTAAAACGCACTATGTAGACAAATTTCTGCTCACGATGGAGGTATAGAAGGCACTAGTAATATGATATTTTTATCAGTATCACTTTTTGCAAGAAAATATAGAAGCCAATAGCTTTATCAAATTAACAAA